CAGTCCAGGAGAGATGAAATAACTTACAGATGGCAAGTGACAGGCTCAGATTTAGTCCCAGGTCTAAATACCGAGCTTTAATCTCTTAAGCATTCTGAGTTCTGCCTTCTTGTAGGAACCTACATCTTGTCCTGCTGGTCCTGCTCTCTGGACTCTCCCTCAACAAACTGGCACTCTCCACCCCCAAAAGCCTTCCAGAGTGTCCTTACAGCTGGCCATCTCCAATTCCCTCTCCATTGCTTTTAACTGGAGCAGTGAGCAGTAGAGAGCCTGTGGGGACCTTCTACCCCAAACTGGGAGGCCTCTGATATGCTGAGCAGCCCATTCCTATCAAGCAGGTCCTGAATTTCAGCATCGGATCTCCCCAGCAGGTACTTCACAGAGAACTTTTCCATGAAAAACCTCTCTTTGACCCAGTGGGTTGCCCTGCTTGATCCTATTTCTTTCCTTTATCCCCCTACCTCCTGTAGTCCAAATTCAGAGTCTGAAAAATCACCTGTGGACCAGGAATTCCACTCCAGGGGACAGAGGCAAGAAAAACGAAAACAGGCCCATGCAAAGACTGGTATAGGAACATTCATGAGGCTCCAAGATGAAAGCAACCCAAAAGCACTCAACTCATGCATGTGTAAACAAAATGTTCTATATCTGGACAATGGAATAAATCTGACCATTAAAAGGAAGGAAGACAAATACATGTTGCGATGTGGATGAACTTGAAAACATACTGAGTGAAAATAGACCCAAAAAGGTACTGATGTATAATTCTATTGAAATGAAATGTCCAGAAGAGGCCTAGAGAGAGGAAGTCAATTAGTGGTTGCCAGGGAACAAGCAAAAAGATTAATAGTTGCACAAAATATTGAATTGAGTTGACCTTCAAGGAGACAGGGGTTTAGGGGAACCAACCCACAGGCAGTCAAAAATTCACATATAACTTTTGACTCCCCTAAAACTTAACTGCTAATAGCTTGCTATTGACTTGAAGGCTTACTGATAATATAGTCAACTACCACAAACATTGTATGTTACATGTGTCTGGTGTTCTTGCGATAAAGCCACCTAGAGGAAAGAAGGCATTATGAAGAAAATCATAAGGAAGAGAAATTATATTGATGGAACCATTCTGTTTTCATAGATCCTCTAAATTTAGGTCGTTTATTTTCAAGAAAATCCATGCATAACTAGTCCATGCAGCTCTAACCCATGTTGTTCAAGGGTCAACGAAAACCACTGAGTTGCACGCTTTAAAATGGTGAACTGTTTGTATGTTGTCAATGACATCTCAGTAAAAACAATTTGAATCTCCTGGTGATTTGAGTCACCTAAACTTTTCAAAGATTTTCCCTTTCCTTGTGAAATGTGGATCTTGGAATAGAGAACATTCTAGATAAAGGCTCCAACTATTCTTCTAGGAGAATGTCTTTGCAAGACTGTGGTCAGACAGGGAGAGGTCAGTGATCTCTGGCCAATCCTTCCTCATGCTGAGCCCTTCTGGGGTCAGGGACACACGATCCCATCTCTTCCTGGGGGATAGGGAAATCAAAATCTGGAGAGAACAGAACATCCCAAGGTCACAAGATGAGTCAATATAATTGTTGGACTTATCATCTTATTTCCTTATTTTCATTAACACATGCCCTTTTCTGGATGAGTTACACAAAACAATCTCTCCTGGCCCTACTGACAGCTCTGGTCCCAATGAAAGAAGCTTCAGACTTCCTTCCACTGACACCTTAATCAGACGGTTATGTCAGGAGGTACTCCTCTGCAAACACCAGCTTGTCTGTGCTTGCACTCACAGTGAGGACTGAGGCTTCTCAATGGGCTCACCTGTCTCATTCTGGCAAATTGAGAGAGGAGTTAAAAGTAGATCTCCTGTCAAACAGTGGGTGGCATTCTAAACCCTGTGGGCATACAATAGGACAGGACCTGGGCTGGGCTCTTTGTGGAGATTTTTTTTAAGAGGTAAAATTTCACCACTCTTCCAGGAACTTGAGAGTTTGATGAGAGTTCAGATATGCAGAAACAATACAACCTGGAACGCAGAAACTCCCATCGGAATAGAAGGAAACCAGTCATTTGGATTTTAAGTAGGAAGAGTCTGGTTGGGGCATCAAAGAGTCCACAGAGGGAACAGCGATTGGACTGGGCGGTAAAGGGCAACCAAGGACATAGCAGGAATGGAGATGTAGAGCCAGAAAGAATGAAAAACAGTTAAGGTACAGCTGGGAGAATGTGGAGAGAGATTGTGAAAAACAAAGTATAAAGAAGTCTTAGGTCAAGTTCTGGAGAGCTTTTAAAGCCAGGATTAAGAAAAGGTGCTTCACTTTTGAAGGAGAAGGCGGGACAGCCATCACAGTCTTGTGCACCCTGGAGTAGCCTTGGAGAGCAGAACCAGCATTGTTTATCCAACCACTTAGACAGCTGCAAGCTCTTTTGGCCTGGGGCTTTGCATCTAGGTCTTGTTATAGGAAAGATGAGGATGCTTATTATAGTATTATTTATGATAATAGAAAACTAGAAACAATCTCAAGTCCTAACTGTACAGCAGAGATTCTCAACCAGGGTAATTCTGTCCCCAGGAGACATTAGAAAACATCCCAAAACATTTTTGATTGTCACAGCTTGGAGGGAGGTACTATTGGCATCCTGTGGGTAGAGGCCAGAGATGCCACTAAATGCCTTACAATACACAGGAAGCTCCCCACAATGCAGAGTTAAGGGGTCCACTTTGGCATCTGTGCCAAGGTTGCCAATAGTCTCTCTCTTACTCTCTCACACTTGCTATCTCCAGAAAAATATTTTAAAATATACAAAAATATCAACAATGGTAATATCTGGTTTCAATTTTTCCCTTTGTGTTCTCCAGTATTTTCTAGATTTTGATTGCTCTTTAGGACCGGATATTAGTCGGTTTCCAGAGAACTGACTCACACAAATGAAGGCTAAGAGGTCTCATGCAGCTGTCTGCGGCTGGGAGCCAGGAAAGCCAATGAGATAATTCAGTTTGTCTCAAGGCCTGAGCACCAGGGTAGGGGAACAGTGGCGTCAGTCCTGGTCTCGGCTGGAAATCCAGAGAAATCCAACTTCGCCCTTGCTCCCCCTTCCTGTTCCATTCAGACCCTCACAGGGATGACGCTGCCCACGTGCACTGATGAGGGCGGTCTCTATTCAGGATGCTGATTAAAGGTTAATCTCTTCTGGAAACACCCTCATAGGCACACCCAGAAACAATGTTTACCCACTATCTGGGCATTCCATAGCCCAGGCACATAAAATCAACCATCACAGACTTATAATTTTTAAAAAATATTTTGAGCACCAAAGATATTCCAGGCTGCCTTGCAAGGACAAGGGAATTAGCCCTGAGAGGCACCTTCTTTCCAGGAGCTTTCAGCGCAGAAGGAAGACAAACAATATACAGGAGACAGAAAACAAATGAGGTCATTATTTAATAGTACATAATAGTAATTAAGAAATTATATAGGGTGACATTACAGGCAGGAATTGGAGAAGGGGTGGCTGGGGATTATTTGGAATAAGACAACTAGGTGAGCTGAGATCTTGAGGTTGAAAAGGAGACTGTGTACAGAGGGGTGGGGAAGAACATTCCAGACAGAGAGCTTGTGGTAACTATGGTGTGGGGGGTTAGAGGAGTTTAGAGTGCAGCATGGCTGCCAGACCAGGGATCACTTGTGCATGCAGAGCTTGGATGGGTGTCATACCCCAAGAATTTATTACATTCTACAAATCGACTTTCCTTTAAAGTTCATTTACAAAGTTCAAAGGGCCAGCAGCAGTTGGCCTGTATAAGCCTGCATTTCACAGTATTTACAATGCAGAGATGCCCAGCTTTCGAGTGTGTTTCCTAGAATCTTCTCATCCAGAGAGAAAAGCCTTCTGCCTCACCTCTTCTGTGTGTTGGAGGGGCTCTTCAAAGAGCATTCTGGTGTTTGGAGATGGAGCTGATAGCTTCCAGACTACTGTGTGCATTTCAGATTGACAACCTCAGAAGGGACCAGCAGGTGTAGCCAGAAAAAGCACATTAATGTCAAGAAAAGATCAAGGAGATTGAAGGGAAACAGATGTGAAAGTTAAGCCTCTGTGAGAAAAGCCAGAAACTAAGATGGTAACTAGGGGGTACCTCTAGCAGTATCTTGGGCGACTAACAGTCTTCCTCATGTATTTCCTCCAGTAAACATGTTTTGCTTTTGTAATTAAAGGAAAACAATGAAAGGTATTGTTTTAGGAGGACCTTTCAAATTCTAACAGAAAACCCTTGAAGTCTTTAACTGGGTAGGACTTGGATGCAAAGATTGTGAAATGGGGGCCCTGTGGTGTCCAGAGGGGAGCAGGAATGGTGAGGGTGTGAAGTGAAGCCCCTTATGGGGGAGACTCTGGGGAAGAGGGCACAGGAGGGTGGGGCAGGGGAGGGCAGTTGAAGGGAAGGGAGATGTCCCCCTCAGCTCTCACCATTCTTGCCATGGAAGAAAATGAATCTGTAGATCTTCTGATTCTCCCAGAGAAGCCAAACACCTCTCTGAAGCTGTAAAGGTAGGCTTCTGGGTCACATGGGAGAAAAATACCCTGTTGGGCTTAGAAAACAGATCTGTGGTGGCAGATGCTCTCTATGAGGCCTGTTTGCAGCCTCCTCTCAATTCTTTCTCCAGTGGCATCCACCCCTGCCCTGCACAGAAGTCTCTTCTCAGGTGCTGATAAACCACAGTGTAAAGAGATGGCTCACCTTCTCCATCTCGGGCCCAGCAGCATCTGGAACATTCTGATCCCCATAATCCTTGTTCTTGTAAAATATTAATGATTTAATCTCCCCCGCACACTCCCTCTCCTGGGCAGCCAGGCCAGTGAGCTTTCCAGGCAAGACCCACAGAAGTCAGGCAACAGCCGAACACATCCTGACTCAGTTCTGCCACAGACACACAACCCCTGGCAAGGCCGGCCTCCGCCCTCCGCAGACCCAGCCTTTGTGACTCCCTGCCATGGCAGAGGTGACAGCAGAGGAGGTGGAAAAGTTCCTGGACTCCAATATTGGTTTTGCCAAACGCTACTACCAACTGCGCTACCAGGCAAAGGTCGTGGCCGACCTCCTCAGACCCGGGGAGGCTGCTGTGGAACTCAGCCACTACCACCCCCTGAGCAGTGTGGAGGAGAGCGAAATCATATTCGACCTCCTGCGGGACTTTCAGGAAAATATACAGACCGAGAAATGCATTTTCAACGTCATGAAGAAGCTGTGTTTCCTCCTGCAGGCGGATCGCATGAGCCTCTTCATGCACAGGGCCCGGAATGGCATCGGGGAGCTGGCCACACGGCTCTTCAACGTGCACAAGGATGCGGGCCTCGAGGACTGCCTGGTGATGCCCGACTCGGAGATCGTCTTCCCTCTGGACATGGGTGTGGTGGGTCATGTCGCACACTCGAAAAAGATGGTCAATGTCTCCAACACCGCAGAGGTACCCCTTCACCCTTGAGGGAGGGCAGGGAGGCATTGTTCCATGGGGTTCTGGGGTGGCAGTGGGGTGGGGAGCTGCTGGCCACCAGGACTGGGCTGGTGATAACTTGGCGTTTCTCTTTATTTTGTCACATATTTATAGATAACTTTTTTTTTCGAAAAACCCTCAAATGTCACAGAGGAGTCGAAAAATAGTACAAAGTACCAAGTATCTTTGATCCAAATCCACCAGTTGTTAACATCTTGTCATGTTTGCTTTTTCTCTCTGTTTTTTTCTGACCCATCTGGGTGTTAGCTTTAGGCACCACACTCTTTTCACCCGAGCTGCTTGCTGGGTATCTCCAGAACTAGGACATTTCTTAGATAGCCACAGCACAATGATCACCTTCAGGAAATATAACATTGAAACAGGGCTATTGTGTAGTGAGTTTGCCAATTGTCTCAAGTATGCCTGTTAATGTTTCTTTATTCTCCTTGAATCTGACAGTTTGTTAGTCTGGACAGGCTAAATATTTTGCAGAAATGTCCATTTAGGTGTGTCTGTTGTAGTCTTCATGATGCATTATATCAGGGGATATGGAATATAAATTGAACACCAATCACTCAGTTAAGCATTTGTGTCTTTCTCCAAAGAGTCCAGGGTTCTATTGGTGGCTCTTGACATGACGTCTTTCACTATCTTGGGCAAATCGCTCAGTCATTTCTCCCATCATCCTCTTTCCTGGCCAACTCCTACTCATCCCTGTGCTAAGAAGACTGTTGTTTCCTATTTAACCCCAGAGTCCACTCTGGAGGCCCTGCCTGTATGTCTCCAGAAGCTTTTGAGCCCAGCATTCCTGCTGGTCTGCTGGTGACGCTGGCCGGGGCCCGGGGGCTGTAACCAGTACAGGTCTGTAAATCTGTGCACTTGCTGTTTCCATGTGTCTGTTTCTCCTGTCATTCCTCCTTGGAAATCTTACTCTTAAGGCTCTGATAGTGACTGGGGCTTGGGTGGAGAAGGAGGAGGAAGATGTGTAGACTGAGGTTAAAGTTGTTCCTGAACCACCAAAGAGTAGTACTTTTCAGTGCCCTTGGAAAGCCTGGAAAATGGCTACAAGCACTGAATTTTTAAAATGAGAAAACATGAAAGAAATGTTTCGAGAGTGGTCATGTATATTTCAACTCTTTGAAAATTTCTGCTCATCCTTAGGATTGCCTCAGGGACTGTCCTTAAGATTTGTGTGACAAAACAGTGGATACCCAAGTTAAAAATGAATTTTAGATGAACAATAATATTTTGGCAATAGTGTGCCTTATGTGATATATAGGGTAGACATATATAAAGAAATTATTTGACTCGAATTTCAAATTGAACTAGGCCTCCTGTGTTTATTTGCTAAATCTTAAAAAACTTCTTCATTCTTAAACTTTTCCCCTATTAGGAAAATCCTCATTCCTAGTCCTCTGCCTGGGTCAGTGTGCATAGTCATTACAATTTATTGAGTGAATAAATAAATGATGGTCTCCTCCACTCAACTGGGGCTTGTGTTTTAAAATAAGAAATATTTATTTGGTCATTGAACTGGTTCCTGACATGGAGATCCTGGCACCTTGGAAAGACCTGGTGATAGCTGGTCATTTTTTCTGATAAAGCAACTTTTGGTGGGCTCAGGGTGGGGGCTTATCACCAGAAAGACCAAGCCATGAGCAGATGCTTGAAACTTTATTTCCCCACTCCCCATTTTCCAGAAAGGGGAGAGGAGATTAAATGAAGTTGACAATCATGCCTACATAATGTAGCCTCTATAAAAATCCCCAAATTAGAGGGTTTAGAGAGATTCTGGGTTGTGGAGCATACCCATGTGCTGGGAGGGTGGTGCACCCCAACTCTTGGGGAACAGAAATTTCTGTACTTGGGATCCATCCAAACCTTGCCCTGTGTATCCATCTGTTCTTCAGCTTATCTTTTATTATTTAATACATAGGTAAACATTAGTGCTTCCCTGAGTTCTGAGGCTGTTCTAGCAAATTCTTGAACCCAAGGAGTAGGTTTTGGAAACTACAGTCAGAAGCACAGGGGAAAACTTGGGACTTGTTATTGCTGTCTTTCCCTGGGCGTGTGTCTGATTCCCAGACTTTAAAATAAGCAGTTTGTGTTAAAGAGCTTCTAAGGCCCCTCCTGCCTCTCATAATCTGATACTATGACACAGTTGGTTAGGATACTTATTTGCTGAAAATATGGATGACAATGACAGTGCAAATGCCAGTAGCTGTAATTTTTTTTTTGGAGGGGGAGGGCGGAGTTCTAGGATTGAGAATTCAGTGGGAAGAAGGTTCACGTTCTGGCGCATTTAGTAACATCTGCCTCTGAGAGAGGTAAGGCCCAAGTATGGGTTTCCCTGGCAGAGGTGACTATGGTGAGGTTTATTAAATTCATAAAATGAACATGAGCCTGCCCCACCCAAACCATGTTCAGGGACACATGAGTGTCCTTAGAGAATGACGTGGAAAACCCTTCATGGCTAATGCCTCTTTAGAGACTTTGCTTGATCCGCTAGTGCTAATTTAAGTGGCCCATGACAGGCTTTCCTTAAATCCTTTACCCTTCACTGACAGCATCATGGACAACACTGGGCCTGTTTGTTTAATCCTGCTTCAATGGGAAATTTCTGAATTGTGGGGAAAGGTTCTGCACACTCTGTCCTAGAAAAGTTCTATGAAATATTCTATTCGCAGAGTAACCTGAATGGTTCGTGTCCAAGTTGGCTTGTGTCCTGAGTACAGGCTGATGACTGGGTCACCTCTCAGCACCAGCAGGAAACAGAGCAGTGGATTCTTCCGCATTTAAGAAAACAATTGAGGCTGTCTCCTCTTTCTGGACATATGGACCACACTACTCTATACTGGCCTCTCAGACTGATGTAGGGGTGCCATGGAAGGGTGTGCTCCTCTGCTCTCCCACAACTTTAAGCCAAGCTCTATGTTCTGTTACTAATTCATCTGTGAGCCAGTCTGAATGTCACCCCTCTGCACCCCTCATTCTCAGTGTAAGGCCAGACATGTAATGGTGGTTCCATTAAGATTTGTGGATTGAGGACATCTGTTGGACTGTGTGCCTGAGCTGAATTCCTAAGAAAAATCTGGAAGTAACAAAGCCTTTTGTTCAATGACATGGACCCAGTTCTAACATTACCCAAGCTGTCCCAAATGGCTGCTGAGGGCAGGTTCACATACACACACACCCCTATCAAATACTATGAGTTACTTCTCAAGTATCAGTTTCTCCTTGTGTAATATGGGAACCACCTCACAGCTTCTTGAGAAGATTAGTGTATGTCACTACACTAAAGTGCCAGGACAATAACCAAGATGAAAATGCATACATTGTACAAAAATGAAAAATGATGTAAAAATATATAAAATAATTAAAAATAAATAAATAAAATAATTTAAAAATAATGATCAACAACAAGAAAAAATATATTACAAAAAAGTTCTAAATAAATGCAAAAAAAAAAAAAACTACCAGGCAGAATACCCATGAGCAATTGTGCTCATTATATACTTACAAAGGTCTTTTTCTCACACAGATTTCTTTTGGGGGCTTCTTTGTCATCATCTCCAGAGAGCTTTCTCCAAACCTCCCTCCCAGGCAAAGTTCACCCCCACATTCTTTTGTACCTGGGCCCCCACAGTGCTTTTTTTTTAAGATTTATTTATTTATGCATACAAGAACTGGGGTACGGGCCATAGGTGTGGGGGTTGAGAGGATTCACCAGAGACAGAGTAGAAAACAGAACAGGCAGACTGACTGAAATACACTGCTGAGGGGAGCAGCAGGTGAGACAGGAGAGGTCTCTTGCACCATGTGGGTGGCTCCCTGGTCGGCAGGGGATAGAACTCATGCAGTGGTGGCTGCGGATAGCTTCATAGGTTGTGTCTTAACCCCTTGCGCCATCAGGGAGGCTCTCCCCCCATAGTGCTTTGTATGTGTCTCCTCCACCGTCCTTAGCAGGCTGTATGTCAGACTTTCTTTTACTGAATTTTGGAGGTTTCTGGAGCAGAAAACATCTCTGACTGCTTTACCACCATTGAAGGGCAGTCAACGGAACTGTCTTCAGTCTCTCGTCAACAAGAGAACAGCAAGTCCCAATCCTAGCCCTTACCATGGGCCCCTGGGGCTCTGGGCGTTACCTTGTCTTGCTCTTGTTCTTCACACCCTCATGTGTCTTGGATTCCTTCAGGATGAGCATTTCTGTGACTTCGTGGACAACCTCACTGAGTACCAGACCAAGAACATCTTGGCTTCCCCCATAATGAATGGGAAGGATGTGGTGGCTATAATCATGGCTGTGAATAAAGTGGAGGGACCCCACTTCACCGAAAGAGATGAGGAGGTAAGAATGCTCTGGAAACTACTTGGGTTGGTCATGCTAACATGTCCTTTCAGCTCTTAGAGTCCCCCAAAACTTGCTCTTTTGCTTTACCTCAGTTTCCTTGTCTGTAAGACAAGGGGTTGGTCTGATGCCCTTTGAGAGAGGTTGGGTGGGACAGTAGTTAAGTTGTTGGGCATTGGAGCCAGGAATATATGGTTGATTGTCTGGCTCTACCAATATCTAGATGTTGAATGAGTTACTTAATTTCTCTGACCTCAATTTTCTTATTTGTCAAATGGGATGAATTTACAGTATCCACATCATGGAGTCCTTCTAAAGATAGGGTCAGACAACACACATAATGACTTATCACAGGGACTGCAAAGTCAGTAAGAGGAGCTATCCCATCCATGTTCCTGCCAACAACAATATTCCATGTTTTGTGAGTTTTACCCTCTCAGAATGCAACCTTTTCCAGTCAGCATTCCCTGATCCTTCTGCCTAAGTTGCTTCTGATGAAGTTCTTATTTTTTTTTTAATACTTACAGAAGTAGCTTTATTTTTTTCAGTTGATGATACAAAAGCTGCTGACACACCCCTATGTTTATAGCAGCACTATTTACAATAGAAAAGCTTTGGAAACAACCCAAATGCCCAAAAATAGATGACTGGATCAAGAAGATGTGGTACATATACACCATGGAATATTACTCAGCATTCAAAAAAGATAAACACATGCAATTTGCAGCAACATGGATGGCGCTGGAAGGGATCATGCTCAGCGAAATAAGCCAGAAAGAAAAAGAAAAATACCGGATGGTCTCACTCATAGCAGGAATCTAGAAAACCTAAATAAAGGACCAGGAAAAAGAATAACTATAAGAAAGAAAATATCAAAATCAACAAACAACTATGAACCAGAGACACTCTATGGGAGGTGGGGGCTGGGGAGGGGAGGGATTGGGGTCAAAATAAGGGGATTGCAATTGTATGGGGAATATAAAAATAAAATAAAATAAAAAAAGCTGCTGACATATATGCCCGTGTAACTTTTTCTCTCACACATACAAGTCAACAGATTGGTGAATCCAGAGGAACTATAGAACTCAGAGATCACTGTATGGACCTTATCAAATTAGTACCCACGGTTCATTCTAATCCATTTCCATGTGCTGTGAAACATCTTCATTACATTTGTAGATGACACAAGTGCACCAACAGGCAGAGGTGCTCAAGGTCAGTTTCACTTTCAGCCAGTCAGGTTTGGGGTGTGGCAGTTCTCTACCATAGAACATTGAGGCTGCTGGGGAGCCACTCATGGGCAGGATGCCCATTGTGGAAGGCTCCATCTTGTCAGGGTAGGCTCTGACGATGCTTTTAAAATAGTCAGACGTTTCCTGATGGCGTTTCTCCTTCTTATGTATTTCCCCTCCTGCTCTTTGATTTTCAGATTCTTCTCAAGTACCTAAATTTTGCAAATCTGATCATGAAGGTGTATCATCTGAGTTACCTGCACAATTGTGAGACTCGGCGTGGCCAGGTAAGGCATGTGTCTCCAGAGACCAAACTAGACCTGTTCTTTCACTGAGGCACGGGTGTGGTGGAGTGGGTGGTGATGAAAGTAGCTGGGAAGAATACAATCTCTGCCCAGAGTCCTAGTCTTAGGATGTAGTTGCTGTTTGTAAAACTGAACCCCAGAGCAATTATATGTGCATGCTTTCAAGTCCAACTGCTTGGGTCTTAATCTTTGTTAAGCCATTTACTAACTCGGAGAGCTGAGGGTAAGTCACTCTTTACCCTCTCCAACCTCCAGCCTTCCCATTTGAAAAATGAGGATAATTATGGTCACACCCTCCAAAAGCTTTTATCAGTAGTGAGATAATGTATGTATAACACTTGTGCTAAGTCATTGTTTGTTGCTATTATTCTGTGTAATAGATCAAATACCTGCAAAGGTTGGGCCCAATGTCAACTGGTCAGTTAAGCTACCTCTCTGAAACTGTTTCTCTCTCTCTCCCTCATTATTTCGTTAACTGAAATCAACTCCAGCAGGTTGTATAAGGTTGTATACCTCTCTAGCTAAGGGAGCTGAGACTTTGTGCTTCCAAATGTTTGACTGTGGTTTTGTACTTCTTCAGATACTGCTCTGGTCGGGGAGCAAAGTCTTTGAAGAGCTTACTGATATTGAGAGACAGTTTCACAAAGCCCTGTACACGGTTCGAGCCTTTCTCAACTGTGACAGATACTCTGTGGGGCTCTTGGACATGACCAAGCAGAAGGTGAGGAAGCCTTGGGACAAACGTTTCTGAGAGCAAGTGAAATGTACGCAGAAGGGAGCCCAGACAGTGTCAGGCCTTCAGCTGCATGGAAAACAGGCTGGGAGAATGTGGGTAATTGGCAAAAATTTCTCATGGGTCTTTGTATTGAAGAGAGGACTCCCCACCTTTAGAGGGGAAAAGCCAATCTAGCACACATATGTAAAAATAACCTGTGCCTCCTCTAGTGGATTGGGAAGGGAGGTGAATGTGAGGGAAAAGCTTGTGAAGTGAAGTGTGTGAAGTAGAAGGTGATGGATAAAGAAATTTCTATGTGTGGTCCAAAAGAAAAGTTATCCGAAAGAAAGTTACCAACTTAGGAATTCTCAGAAAATGCACTCAAAGGTGGAAGTAAGCTTCACCAGTCCAGGGCTCACCCAGGCAACTGAGGAGGGTGTGGGTGCTTAGGCCTGATTCCTTAGAATGCTCAGGAGCAGATTTGCAGCAGACCATGGGTTAGGGAGGTGGAGCCCAATATGGCTCCAGAAATGTTCTTCAGCTAAATCAAACTTGCCCAAGCCCCCTTCTGTGGCTAATCATTTTCTGCCTTAGAATAAAGTTCCAGAGTTATCTACATTTATGATTTCCTGTCCTGAAGACCCACAGTACAAGCTGCTCTCAGGTTCATTTCATGTGCCTTGCCAGGCCCAAGGCGGTACAAACACCCGTGGAGACCAACCAAATATTTGGTTGGGTGAAAACAATGAACTGTAGAAACTGGATTGGAAAGGACCTTAGGATTAGAACTCCTAAGGATCCCAGAGGTGACAGTGAAACAGAATCTCTGAGAAAGTGTGGAAAATTGCAGGACCACATTTCCCGAGAGACTGCCTTTTTTACTTACTATTTTGTGGACATCTTTCCATGTCAATACATGGCTATTCTTCTTAATAAACATTTATGTGGAAGCATAACCATATGTCCAGAGAATGGTCATTCAGGAATAAAGAATCATCACAGTATGGACGCCGTCATGTAGCCATCACCAAGATTAAGAAAGAGAACATTGGGGGCCTCTCTGGTGGTGCAAGGGGTTAAGATGCAACCTGTGAAGCTATCCGTAGCCACTGCGGCATGAGTTCGATCCCTAGCCAGGGAGCTACCCACATGGCACAGCAGACCTCTCCTGACTTGCCCGCTGCTCCCCTCAGCAGTGTATTTCAGTCAGTCTGCCTGTTCTGTTCCCCACTCTGTCTCTGGTGAATCCTCTCACCCCCCACACTTCTGGTCTGTACCCCAGTTCTTGTATGCATAAATAAATAAGTCTTTTAAAAAAGAGAGAGAACATTACCCACACCTGAAAAACTCCTTTTCTGCTCTTTCCTGTAACTCTCAGAGACTTTTCCCTGAAAAGAACCACTATGTGATCTTTAGCAACATTCGTTTTGCCTACTCTTGAAGTTCACATAAATGGAATTGTGCAAATACACATTCTTTTGTGTCTGGCTTCTTTTGCTCATCATTTTGATGAGAAGTTTCATTCTTATTTTTCCACATAGTATTAATTCATTATTTATTCTTGTGGAATGTCCCTTTATCAGAACGTACTTCAGATACAATGTATTTATTCATTCTGTTCTTTATGAACATCTGAGGTTTTAGATTTGGGTTTATAGGGGCAGGAATAGCACCTAGCTGGTTCTCTGATCCAAGCAGACAGGTAGAGTCCTGGAGCCCTTGGTGGCTTTTTCAGGCTTTTATTGAGCTTTTACCAGGTACAAGGCAGGCAGGGCAGGCATGCCTGGGGGCCACGAGGCTGGCAGGCTTCACAGCCCCTGGGAATATTCACTCTTTCTGGGCTCTCTGGCATCCTCTCATGGTCTTGTTCTCTCTCTTCTGCTTGGCTTTCATTCTGGTTCCACTCTGCTGGCGTTCTCATAACACCACCCTTATTAACCAGACTCAGCCCCAGTGTACCCACACCCTACTCCAGGTGCCCACCATCAGGCTTACATTTAGGACCGCAAGGATCCATCATTAATCCTAATGGCGGGGGGGGGGGGGTTGGCAGAAAAGCCTGATTATCACTTACCCTACAGGGTTATTATGAATATAGCTATTATGAACATACCACTACAGGTTTTTTTTTTAAAGATTTATTTATTTATGCATACAAGAACTGGGGTACAGGCCACAGGTGCAGGGGGTAAGGGGAATCACCAAAGACAGAGTGGAAAGCAGGAACAGGCAGAATGACTGAAATGCACTGCTGAGGGGAGCAGCGGGCGAGACAGGAGAGGTCTGCTGCACCATGTGGGTAGCTCCCTGGCCGGGGATCAAACTCATGCTGCAGTGGCTGCAGGTAGCTTCATAGGTTGCATTTTAACCCCTTGTGCCACCAGGGAGGCCCTACTATAGGTCTTTGTGCACAGTTGTAAATAAACTGGCTTATTTCTGTTAGTATTACATAAGAGTAGAACTTCTGAGTAGTAGTTTTAATAGATATTATCCATTTCATTTTCAAACTGATTGTAATATTTTACACTCTCACCAGCACTACATGCGTTTCCTCACCAATATAAGCAAATAATGTTATCTATTTCTCAGGATATGCATTGCCCCAATGACTGAGGAGGTTGGAGTGTTTTTCATGTTTATGGCCATTTAGATATCTTCTTTTATGAAGTGCCTGTTCAAGCTTTTTCCATTTTGAAAAAAATTCTATTGTCTTCTTTGTCTTACTGATTTATCGTTCTTTACAAATTCTGGATCCGGCTCTTCTGTTGAACAGAAACACTGCAAATATCTTCCCCTCTCTGTGCTCTCATTCTTTTAGTGGTAAATACATATTTTGATGAATGTAAATTTGAATTATAATGTAGTCTAGTTTATCAGTCTTTTGTGGTTTTGGATTTTATGCTCTACCTAACAAATCTCTCCTACATCCAAGATAATAAAGATATTCAACTATGCCAACTTTTTTTTCATGTTAACATCTAAAAGCTTATTGTTTTAATGTTCACATATAGCTCTACATTCTACCTGAAATGTTTTAAATATATAGCATGAATTAGGGTCAATATTAATTTTTTTCCATGTGAAACTATGGATATCCATTATCGTTGTTGAAAGGACAATTCTTTCCCTACTGTTCTATTGACAAGACCAGTGCAGTACCAGCAAGGCACAGAGCATGATCTCTATGATCTGAGCAGCTGGGTAAAGGAGAGTCCTGGAGCCCTCAGTGGCTTTTTCAGGCTTTTATTGAGTTAATCAGGTACACAGCAGGCAGGTGTGCAGGGGGGCGGGAGGCTGGCAGGCCTCCCAGCCCTCAGCGAGTCTTCACTCTTTCTGGGCTCTCTGATGTTCTCTCGTGGTGTCCCCACTGTCTCTGCTGTTTCCACCACTGCTACTCTTTCTTTCCTCTGGTGGTTCTCTTCTTCTACCGGTTGCACGTGACGCCACCCTTTAAGGCCCAGTCTCAGCCCAGGTGTACCCACCTATGTATGTCCACACTACACTCCAGGTGCCCGCCATCAGGCATGCATTCAGGACTGCAGGGATCCATCATTAATACTAATGGTGGGAGGACAGAAGAGCCTGATAATCACTTACCCTACAACCATCTTTACATACCCTACCTCTCTCATCTGTCAGTTATCCACATATATTGGGTGTGTTTCTGGGCTCTCCATTTTGTTCCATTGGTATACTTATATAGTTGTCTGCAGTGTCACTATCTTTACAAAACATTTTGATATCCAGTAGTGACAAAACCTCTAGTTTTGTTGTTGTGACATGTTAGACTTTTTCCACCATGTTTTATGTCTCTTATACTCCTTTATGTATTTTTGTTTTTCACTTTCAATATTCTGATCTATCTTCCATCAATCACTAATCCTTCAGGTGCACCTAATTGGCTGTTAAAACTATCTATTGATGGGTATTTTTCAACTTTAGAATTCCTATTCATTCTTTTTTGAAGTTTCCAGTTTTGTGCTATAATTTTGCCTTCTGTATTTGATTTCATAGACATAATCAATTATTTTAGCATCTTGCTCTGAGAGCTAAGTTGTCTATAGATAACTGCAATGACTCTCTTTCTATGATCTTGTTTTTCTTCTTGAATTTTCAGTTAGTTCTTGTCTTATACATGACTGGTTATTTTTGTTGAAGCATCAGAGACATGTATGAAAAATTATAGAGATTATTTGAAATTCGGGGCAATGTTATCTTCTGCCAAAGGGGTTTGTTTTAATTCTGGCAAGCAGTTCCAGCAATTGAAGACAATGCCACAATGAACAACACTGAAGTTAAATCCGTGCACAGAATATCTACAGAAGAGAATTGTAGAAGTGGAATTACTAAGCAAAATTTTATTTTGCTTTCCCCAAAATTTCCCTCTAAAAGTTATGTCATTTTAGAGAGTTGCTTTTTTTTTTTTTTTTTTAAAGTGTCAGTCTTTTTTTTTTATTTATTTATTTGTTTGTTTTGTTTATACAAGCACTGGGTACAGTCAGAAGCGCGGGAGGGTGAGAGAATCCACCAGAGCCAGAGTGGGGAGCAGAACAGGCAGAAGGACCGAAGTACACTGCTGAGGGGAGCAGCGGGCGGCAGGAGAGGTCTGCGCGCCATATGGGACCCTCCTCCGGTGGCCGGGAAGCAGCCGGGGATCGAACTGGCGCCGCAGAGGCCGCGGGCAGCTTCGCAACCCAGCGCTCAACCGCTGCGCCACCGGGGAGGCCCAAAAGTTATGTCATTTTACATTCTCATTCACACTGCAGAAACTTTCACTTACCCAAACCCAGCCAATTCTGGCTATCATACATCTTTTTCTTGTCCTATCTGAAAGGCCCAAAAGTGTTATCTTTTTTAACTGATTGTTTTTTTCACTAATTATTAGTGAGGGTAAATATTTCTGTATGTTTGTGACTTAATTTTTCTTCTCCCACATTTCACCAAGAGATCTAATTTGCCCATATTTAAAACTGAATTGTTTGTCTATGTCTTACACACTCTGTTGGTGGGACTGGAGACTGACCCAGGCCCTGTGGAAAACAATATGGAGGTTGCTTAAAATATTAAGAATGGATCTACCAAAGTATTCCACAATTCTACCCCTATGTATCTACCCAAAGAACACAAAAACACTAATTTGAAGGAATATATACCCTTTCTCCACTGTTTTGGAATGCCACCATGTTGATATGCCATTTCATCATATGCCAGGTTTCCATACACTCAGTGCTTTTAAAATAATGCCCGAGGTAATCCTGGTGCAGCTGGACCACATTCTAATTTTAGGGAACCTCTAATTCTATGCAGCCATCCATTTGTGTTTTTATTTTTGCATACTCTTGAACAAAATATTTTGCCAAGTATTGCTTAACAATAAATCCTTTGATCCTTCTTTAGGAAGTAGCAAAGAATTGAATTCATACAAATGAATGGTTCTTTTTGAAACAAAAGAATTTCTGAGTGTTGGATTCAAAAGATTACCATTTAAGGTGCCCAGTTTGCACTTAAAAGACTTGATTTCAGGCACAGGCTGCCCTTGACCGGAGTGCCCTGCCTCTCTGCTCTTTTGAATTCCCTCTCCAAAGGGAAAGTCATGCTTAAACAAGAATGTTTTGACTTAGTCAATCCCATTGATCCAAAAGATGGCACAGTCTAGCAGATGGTTGCCCTGCCTATGTGATGCCCAGGGGGCCAAACTATTACCTGAGTTGTTGACTTAATGAAAGAATAACAGCCACTGAATTGCACCCTTTTATTGGGCAAATTATATGGTATGTGAATTATATCTCAATAAAACCATTTTGAAATAAAGGAGAAGGAGAAGGTTTAGAGAAAGAGGCCACCCAGACCCTTGTTGACAACACTGGCTTCTTGGCAGAGTCTTTGGAGATGCTCATTCAGTGCTGGTCACAGATGGTGTCAGCCTCACAGCCTGTCTTTTTTCTGGGTGCCTCTAACCTTTGTGTCCTCTCATGATGGCTGTTTTGGCTCCTGCTCTGTCTTCCTTACAGAAGTCACACGCATTGTCTCCTCCACAGGAGGAGGCATTCCTCCAGGGCACAATGGCTCCTTACTTACATTGTGTATCTAGCAGCCAGCATATTACGGAGCTCAGTTGGACCCCAGTTCACATTTTCACCCTAAATTGAATTTCTGTCTGTTGTCAGCAGTCAAAAAAACCAAAAAACCAAAAAACCAAAAAAAAAAAAAACCTGACTGGACAGAAGGGTAAAGACATGGAATCTGAATTTCACATGTGCTCTCTTCTGCTTGTGCTCTGGAGATAATAGGCACACCACTGCAAAAAAAGTGTCCAAACAAGTGAGGCAAGAGGCAGGGGTATGGCCTCCTACCACAATACCCAGTGCTAACAAATCACTGTCCCTAATAATAACTGATGAATGGAGGGCACAGGAAAGCAGAGGCCTCCTTTGCCAGGCCTAGGCTCAGCCCAACACGTACTATTTGGGCTCCCTAGGAAAACCAGGGGCAGACAGGAGGAAGAACTGATGTGAATTCCCACTGGTTTCTTCTCCTGAGGCTGCCTGGTGGTGCAGAGTCATTGCCAGCCTTGTTTTCCCTCCCCTCAGTTCATGTCATTGTAAGTTGTCTCACAGGTATCACCCTTTCTTGCCGGATACCAGATATGGTCTCTCTGTTCATATTTGGCACCTTTGTCTTCTTTTTCTTGTTGTGAAATTCTTTTCTCCTGACTACAAATACAATTCAAAATTGTTAAATAAATTTTAGTCTTATTCCACTCACCCAGACAAAACCAGTTTGTAAAAACTTTGTTGTGAATTTTTTCAGAGCATTTTCTATGTAAAGCTAAATCTTAGGTCTTACAATCTATATTTTTGTCACCTCACATTTCTCAATCATCAGTATTGTGGACCCTTTTAATCAATCCATACACATCTGTAACATCATTCTTATTAGATGTACCATCATTGATTTAATAAATCCCCTTTTGTTGTACACATAGGTTGTTTCTAATTATTTACTACTATAAATGATTGTGCAAAGGACATTGTCTCATGCATGTCCTTAATTTAACATCATTCCCATCATGATTTAATAAATTCCCTTTTGTTGTACACATAGGTTGTTTCTAATTATTTACTACTATAAATGATTGTGCAAAGGACATTGCTTCACCTAAAACTTTAGTCTCATGCTTGGCATGTCCTTAATTTAAGGTCATTGTCTTGACCACAGAGACCCTATTTTCCCTTTCTTGTCCACAACACAGGGAGCCCAGAGAATGCTCCAACCAGATCTCATTTTTCAGTTAATGATTAGACCCATTAGCAGTATCTTAAAGCACAGACATGACTGACATTCTCCAGTTTTTGCAGTCATTCCAAGGTTTCAGAGAGCGCTTCCTACCTTCCACATTTCAGTGACAAATGACTCATGTAGACAACGCTTCTAAATTTGTTTCTGGACATATAATTACTGTTTTTTTCATTCCCAGGAATTTTTTGATGTGTGGCCAGTCCTAATGGGGGAAGTTCCACCCTACTCGGGTCCTAGGACTCCAGATGGAAGGGTAAGGACCTGTCTGATCTATTCAATATGATCAAATGCAAAATGAGATGCAAAGTAGAGACTGCTGAAAGGTGTTTCTTTATCACTTAGGTATTTATCTTCTTCTGGTTGGGTTGTTTCCTTTGAAGTTGTGATAATGCATCACAATTGCCAAGCCCTATATGTTTTTTAATTGATTTATTTTTTATTAGTGAGCTACCATTGTTTTACATCTTTCTTAATATTTTGACAATATAGGATTTTTCCCCTAAGGTGTGGTGATTGTAGATCCCCCACCACCAAAGCACCCATAGTCTTCCACCATAGCCTGCTGTGCTCTACCCCTACCTCTCTGTCTCCCCCCACCCCTTGTATGCCTCACATCTACAGTCAAGGGTTGATTTTATAGTTAAAGTTTGTCTTTGTTTTCCTTATACTCCACATGGTAAGTGAAACCATCTTCTCACTTATTTTGCTTAGCAAAATCCAAAATCCCTTTCAACTCCATCCATGTTGCTACAAATGGCATGAGTTTATCTTTCTAATTGTTGAGTAGTATTCCCTTGTGTATATATACCGCATCATTTTGATGAAAGGTGTTTTTAATATCTTGCTGGCATTTCACAATAACTCTGTAGGATTGCCCAAGAATGAATCAATAGGAAATGAGGAAAGAGTTCCAGAAAGGTCAGATAGCTTGTTCAATGATTCACCTAGCAGGAGTTTAGAATTTAGAGATAATTAGAGCTGGAAATAACCTGAATATCTAATCTAGAAAATACAAATTGGTAGCCAGAGTTCAGTTTCAGCTCATAAATACATTTGTTTGACTGCATAGGTCTTTTAAATTTTCTTTCTGTTTTTTAAAAATTTTGAATTGGTGTCTTAACACTCAAAAACAAGACATTTCCCTTACATACCAAGATTTTCAGTTTCTTTGAAAGAGCAGATCAGTCAAAACTGAACCCACAGTCCTGCAGGGTAAATTTGATTGGAGCAGAGAAGCAGTTGCCTCCTTGGAAGGTGAGACCCCGGGTTCTCTAATTTGCCACAGTCCACACCATGCCCTCTTATATACACCTGCTCTTTTCTCCTCATTTACTTTTCATTCACACCTCCCTCGGTATTTCGGTCTATGACCTCTGACTTAAAAAACTGCTTCATTTAAACATTAGGCACAAATGCTTTAAAGAATCTGAAAAGATATAGGGATATGAAGATGATACTGGGTAAACATACCCATCACTCAGAAGGCCTACAGAACCTGTGAATGACCTTAGCCAAGGCCACATAGGATAAGCAAAAGGCAGCGTCATGTCCTTAAATTGAGTTTTACTCCAGTGCCCTTCCCATAGACCTTTTAAGCTGTCTGAAATGGTCTATCAGTTTCTGCTAGGAGGCCTGAATCCACCCAACCATCACTAACCATACCCAAAATAAAGTGTGTGTGTGTGTGTGTGTGTGTGTGTGTGTGTGTGACAGAACTTACTTAGTTTTAATTTAAGCTATGGGAATTTAAAGTTAATTAGCTTCATATATACACCGGAAAAAATCCAGCCTTGGAATCTACATTGTCTACCATATATTTGAAACAACCTTTTTTTTAAAAAAAGATTTATTTATACAAACACTGGGTACAATCAGAAGTGCGGGAGGGTGAGAGAATTCACCAGAGTCAGAGCAGGCAGACTGGCAAGGTACACTGCTGAGGAGAGCGGCGGGCATGGCAGGAGAGGTCTGTGTGCCATGTAGGATCCTCGCCGGCAGTTGGGGATCGAACCGGCGCTGCAGAGGCTGCCGGCAGCTTCGCAACGCAGCGCTCAACCGATGCGCCACCAGGGGAGGCCCTATTTGAAACAACCTTTATAACCTACTGTTATACAGTTTCAAACTGCTCTTTTAGCCACACAATTTCATGATTTCTTTATAGAATACTAAGTCTACAAGGATTGTATTGTGTGCTTGTAGGGTCAGGAAGGACACTGAGCAGGTTTTCTATGATCCAGCAGACTGGGTAAAGGAGGAGTCAGAGTCCTCAGTGGTTTTTGCAGGTCTTTTATTGGAATTTACCCAGTACACAGTAGGCAGGGGTGCTAGGTAGGCCTCCCAGCCCCCAGCAAATCCGCACTCTATCTGGGCTCTCTGGCGTTCTCTGCTTCTCTCTCGGCTTCGGCTTCTGCTACTTCTTTCTCAGTTTCTCTTTCGGCTTCTGCTGGTGTCCCCGTGATGCCGCCCTTAAAAAAGCCCACTCTCAGCCCAGGTGAATCCCATCTACCTATGCCCACACCCTAATTCCAGGTGCCCGCCATCAGGCATGCATTCAGGACCGCAAGGATCCTTCATCTATCCTGATGGCGGGAGGGCAGGAAAGCCTGACATTTTTCCTTACCCTACAATAGGTATTCAGTTGTAACAGAAAAAAAGTCAGAAGACAAAGGATTGGGTTTGGATTGGTTGCAAACCTATAAAGTGAGCATGATTAAATAACCCTTTGGTCCTTGATTTTCCTACACCTGGGGTGCTATCACTGAATTCATCTCCAAACCCAGTTCCACGTCTAGGACAGAGCTAGTGAGGAAAACCCATGTGAGGACCAGAGACAGCAGGTACTGTTGGCAAATGTGGATCTTCTGAATAGGGTATGGGTATGGAGGGGCAAAGACTGTATGTAGATCATTTCTCTTCCAGCTAGTTGTATGGGCTCAAGCACCTCTCCAAGTTTTACTATCTCCATCAGTATTGCCTATGTAATTAAGTTGACCTAGTTCAGCTGTGGTCATGAAAGTGGCTCACAAGCTGACACACAGCAGGCTCTCCAATAATCACAGCTAACCAGGCTGAACCGCATGACCAGACAGGCCCTTGCCCTATGTTATGTCATTTAGTCTTCTCAGTGAGTTTATGAAGAAAACAGCCTTATAATGCTCATTTTTCAGTTGAAATTGAGGTCCAGAGGGATCAAATCCTTGCATAAATTCAAACCCAGTGTGCTTTTCTCAACGTATGGTGCCTTCTAACATTGCCTTTGGCCTTCTAACCTCACCAACACATTATGTGCCACATTTACATTAGGAATGAAGCTTTTGTTTGAATTTGACCAATTAACTTTCCCATCTCTTGGATCCAAAGCTCCCTGTACTGCTAGCATGGCACAGAACAGTTTCTCTATGATCCAGGCAGACAGGTAAAGGAGAGTCCTGGGGCCCTCAGTGGTTTTATCGGGCTTTTATTGAGCTTTTTCCATCGTTTGTAGTGTGGCAACCACATGCATGACAGGCAAGGAGGCTGGGGATCTGGAAGGCTGGCAAGCCTCCCAGGCACCGGCGAGTCTTCACTCTTTCTGGGCTTTCTTTCATTCTCTTGCGGACTCTGTTCTCTGCTACCTCTGCTTCTCTCCTGCTGCTTCTGCTGCCATTGCAACAATTCTACTGGTGTCCACGCCCTTATATGCCCAATCTCTCAGCCCAGCTGTGCCCACCTATACATGCCCACACCCTATTCCAGGTGTCCACCATCAGGCACACATGCAAGCCCACAGGTGCCTATCATTAATACTAATGGTGGGAGGGCGGAAAATCCTGACAATTTTCACTTACCCTACACTCCCCAAAAGCAATCACATCACACTTCATATTTAAAAAATAATACGTGGGCGTCTGTCAAGATGGTAGTAAAGATACTGGGCTCACCTCCTGTAGGGTCAGGAATACCACAGTGCAGGTTTTCTGATCCAGCAGACCAGGTAAAGGAGGAGTCAGAGCCCTCAGTGGCTTTTGGCAGGCTTTTATTGGGGTTTACCAGGTACACAGCAGGCAGGGGTACGGGGGGCCGGGAAGCTGGCAGGCCTCCCAGCCCCCAGCAAGTCTTCACTCTATCTGGGCTCTCCGGCATTCTCTGCTTCTCTCTCGGCTTCTGCTACTTCTTTCTCGGCTTCTCTTTCGGCTTCTGCTGGCGTCCCCGTGATGCTGCCCTTAAAAGCCCAGTCTCAGCCCAGGTGAATCCCATCTACCTATGCCCACACCCTATTCCAGGTGTCCGCCATCAGGCATGCATTCAGGACTGCAAGGATCCATCATCTATCCTGATGGCGGGAGGGCAGAAAAGCCTGACATTTTTCCTTACTCTTCACCTCCTCTAAACAAATACAACAAAACTGGTATAAAACAAAGCCAAAACAAAAAAAACCAAAAAACCCTGAAGGAGCAACTGGCTAACACTACACACAAAAAGACCATCAGCCCTGACAGAAAGGGAGAAAGAATTAGAAAAAAACAAAGTTTAGATGATAATGGGGGAGTGCTGCCTACAAGAGGGAGGAGTGGCCATGGTACAGCGCCTCTACGACTATTTACTTGGGCACACACCAATACTGAGATGCAGAACTGCACTGGGTAAGGGGATGCAAGAGCAGGCAGCCAGGATGGAGGGTGTATTGCTAAGCAGTGGCAGGGGTGAGGGCAACAGAACAAGAACTATTATCTTCAGCTGATGCTCATAATATACAACAATTGTGGTCTGAATTGGATCAGAGCACCTGAGCTTCCCTAATGAGGCAAATACCACTGATGTCCAGGCTGAGATATTCAAAACACCTGCCACTCCCCACAAAGAACTACTTCACAACAGGAAGTTCAAGTTCCTGTGTCTACTGGAGAGAATGTTTTGATGCCTATTGCTCCAATCCTCTTTCATCATCTGCTATCCCTCACTGTACCAGTCCCCAACTATGCAGATACAAAAACACAGTTAAAAATCAATCCCTACTAAGACCCATACAAAATAGCAAATGAGGAGATCGAAGAACATAGTACAAATGCCACAACAACAACCGTGAAAATGGAAAGGAGCCTTGTCAGAGAGGTTGCAGAGCAGGACAGAAGGGTAATTCAGGGCAACAGTCCTGGAAATGCTGATGGAATCTAAAAATACAGAGGCTATAAAACAACAAAAGAATAAAGATAATGAAAATACGAAGCAGTTTCACTTAGAAATAATAGACTAAGAAACACTATAGCTGACTTT